TAAACAATCAGTGGAGGATTTTGCCAAGACCCTAGCTTCCATGGAACATTATTTCAAGGGGGAGATAGAGCAGCTGAAAAAAAATAAATAGTGGGTTGAATGAGGGTGGGGAAGGACATGAGGACCTCCGTAGTCCTCATATGAATGAAGGACCATTACATGACTATGGTAGTCCGCATATAGAACCGGCAGCAATGGAAACAAAAAGCCCCGGTGATGGAGCCGAACCATCCGCAGCCTTGGTAGTCGAAGAGGCACAAATGGTGACTTCCGTTCCTCACTTAGAAGTGCATGAAGCAGCTGAGCATGCACTTCTCGAGAAGCTGCCTACCCCGGAAGATGTGGCCGGGTGTGACGAAATTTGCAAAAGACTGATGTTGTTGTTAGAAGATTGGAAAATAAGTGATAGTATGGCATCGGGAGGTCCGATCAATCCTCCAAGTATACCCAAAGTGAGTATGGCTGGTGATGGAGAAGGGTCTAAAAGTGTTGAAACAAAAGAAGAGAAAGGTAAAGGCTGTAGACAGAAGCGTCCGTCCCACACTTTGTGTAGTCCATTTACTGATCCGTTGAGGAAGAAGAGGACGATGAGTGTGTCGGATGCGACTGAAACCCCGCCATGTTTTGATCCATCAAAACCCCTTCCCATTGAACATGTGAAGGCAGTAATGGAGTTTTGCATTGGGTGGAAAAATGAGATCAGGTTAGGATTCTTTACCTTCAAAATCCAATCTTCATGTTATGCTAGTATGTGCTGATATAGAAGTGAGAGAATTACCAAGTTCGCTTTAATATACATGTGTATATTTGTGATGAACAAAATTCACACTTTGTTAAAGCAAACAAATATTGACTGCTGCTGTTAAATGTATTTTGTTAAATATAGGTACTAAGAAATTTTGAATTGTAGTTTATTATTATAACATTTAGACTCAAAAGAAGACAATAAAAGAGATTTAGAAGGGGTTGTAATAGTGGCTCCTTCCGCCCATGGCATCTGGTCTTCTCCTCCATATTATGTTCCTCATGTTCCTCGACTCTGCTAGTGTCTTTCCTCAGTGATATTAATGCAGTCAAGGATCTGGAACATTTGGATGGAGCGCAATCGAAGATTTTGTCAGGGTCAGTTAGGAGTAAGGGCTGAGGAGTTATGGGATAGAGTTAAATTCTGGGCTTCTCTTTGGGCATCGGGTTCTAGGCAGTTGAAGGATTATCATTACTCTATAATCTTGAGAGACATGGCTGCTGTCTTAAAATGATGTTACCTAAAGTCTTGTTTTCTTCCTATAGTTTTATCTTCAGTCATTGCTGCCTAGATTTTCTTTAGTTGTTCTGGAGTTTTCCTTTTCATTGTTTAATCGATGTTTTTTCCTCTTGATTATCAATAAAATGTTTCTATTCATAACAAAAAATATTAATGTAGTCGAGGATGTTTTTAAAGTGTATATGGCAGTTACCTCTTGGATTATGGTTATGTGTTCAAAGAGTTTCTTAATCTAAAACAAATTATTACTCGAACAAAGAATTGAACTTATGGTCACATTTGAAGTGAAGAAAAACAGAGTTGAAATAGAAGACAAATACAATTGCTTGGTTGTCGTTACAATTTCAAGTGGAGAAACAAATAGAGATAAGTAGTTTACCTAAGAATTCTCAATTCGTGCTCAAGGG